ACGCTGCCCTGCAGGACAGAGCTGCGGCAGGGCAGCAGAACATGTTAGAGATAAACAGAATAAACAACCTTGAAACCAGCACAGACCAATTATGGCTTCTGCTTTGGCAGTGGGGCTGAAAGACAGAGACTTTTACAATCTGGGAATCATCAATGCCACAGATTCCGACACTTGGGTGGGTTTTCCCCATCAGGGATCCTTCAGAAAGCTCATCAGCATCACTGGCACTTGTCCCGAGGTGAAGCCTTCACTGCTGGGGACTACAGAGCAAGGCAAAGCAATCACAGAATTCACAGAATTCACAGAATCACTGGGTTGGAAGTGATCATCACCTTCAAGATCAGTGAATCCAACCCAGCCCCAACTCCTCAACTCAACCCTGGCACCCAGTGCCACATCCAGGTTTTGTTAAACACACCCAGGGATGGTGACTCCACCACCTCCCCAGGCAGCCATTCCAGACCTTTATCACCCTTTGTGTAAAATCTTCTTCCTAATATCCAACCTGTATTTCCCTTGGTGCAGCTTGAGGCTGTGTGCTCTGGTCTGTCAGTGCTGCCTGGAGACAGAGCCCAGCCCCACCTGGCCACAGCCACCTTCCAGGAGCTGCAGAGAGTGACAAGGTCACCCCTGAGCCTCCTTTTCTCCAGGCTGAGCACCCCCAGCTCCCTCAGTCATTCAATTCCTCCTCCCACCTTCCCTGCCTCAGTTTCCCCAGCGCTGAGGAGAGTATCCCTGGGCACTCCACAATCCCACTCTTCCCATTTCCCTGCTGAAAAGCCCCTGGCAGAAAGGCCCATCCCACCCAACAGCTCCACAACCCTGGGATGTGCGTCCTTGATCCTGCTGCCAGGAGCATTCCCTCTCCATCCCCCCTAATTTTTCCTTCTTCCAAACAACAACCAGCCTTCCCAAGGTGTTTCCATTTCAAGAGAGGATCATTAACCCCTACAAAAGGAAAACTTCTGGCGGTTCAGCCATGCTCCAGCCCTCACCACCGCATCACTCCGGGGTCAGATGTGCTCCTGTCCGCTGGCACCCAGCCCAAATTCCAGCCCAGGTCCCGCCCCTGCAGCCCGGGACCGCAGAGCATCAGCATTTCCATCTTCTGCACAGCAAAGGGTTACACCCGCTCTTCCAGCAGCGTTCCCTCTCTCTCTCTCCCTCTCTTCGAGCAGCAGCAATTGCCATTCTGCATCCTTAATAGCAGCGTAATCAAAAGTTATGATGCATTTTTCAGTAATCACAAGAAATGATCCCCACTTAGCGTTAAGTAAAGCAAATTTGCCACTGGAAGGATGAAAAAAAAAAAAAAAAAAAAAAGAAGAAAAAGGAGAAGTCAAAAGCATTTCAATTTTCATTTGAAACGAATGAGTCAGAGTCAATTTGGTAAAGCAGTTAACAGCAGCTGTGCTCCCCTTCCCAGCCCCTTAACAGGTACAATTTGCTTTTAACAAACAACCTCGCAGAGGTCTCTGGCACCATGTTAACACAGTGGCATTCAACCCCTCTTGCTGTTGTGTATTTAAATTGGGTAATAGAGTCAGGCAGAGGAGATCCACCATGAATCTTAAGAAGTGCAATTTGACAGCATCTTAAAACAACAACAAAAAAAAAAAAAAAGTGGGGGGAGCCTTTATAAAAAAATAATAAATGAGTTTGAGAGCAGCTTTTGTTGGGTTATTGCAAAGCAGCATATTAAAAACAACAGAAATCCCAGAAAGCCCCAGCATGGCAAGAAGATCCCAGCAGGATCCCAAACCTGGGGTTCTGAGCACTCAGGGCACTTCCACGAAGAGCTCTGCAAAGCAGGGAAGGACATTTGGCAGCCAAAGCATCCCCAGCCTGGGTGTATTTGGGGTACTTTGCCCTACACCAAGAGATTCAGTGGAAGGCTGTGTGTCAGAAGAAAAGAAAATCAACAAAATCAAAACACAACAGAGCTGCACAACCCATGCTAAGGTTGCCCCAACCCCTCAGGGCATCCCACTATCTCATGATCTGAGCACTTGCTTGCAGAGAGGGGAATCCCTGGGCTGGAAGGAAAAGTAGAGATATGTGATGAGCCTTCAGCACCCCCTGTTATCCTTCCTGACCCCAGAGTAGCCCTGTCCTTCCCTCACCTCAGAGTCAGGCCCTTGACAATGCCCTCATCTCACTTTTGGTCCAGACAGTCATCATCTCTCATTCATTTGTTCTTTGAAGAAATCTCATTTCATTACTTTCCAGGCCCCTGAGCTTTGTGGGGTATTACAGGAGGTCAATGAAAAATTCATGTTCTCAGTCAGTAATTGGCATTTTTGTTTCCTTTTTTTTTTTTTTTTCTTTTTTTAGAGGAAGGAAAGCAAAGAAAAGGATGTGAGTGGGGCAGACAGCAATGTGAGTGGGTATCTTCTGCTGGTTATTAAGATAAAGTCTCTCATATTGCTCCTGGCCACTGTGCTCTGGTGCTTGCTCCAAGCAAGCCCTATAATCCTGCATATTGAAATCTGAAAGCATTCCTGGTACTTTCATTAGAGGGACAAGTAATGAAAGCAGACTGGACACACACAATTATTACAGTGTAATCCTCTGGAAATGAAGTCAATGCAATCACCCAGCATTCTGCTTTCTTCTCATTTTTTCGACTTCAAGTAAGTGCTTCCCAAATTCCAGCTGAAGTTACTGTTACAATCAATAGCACAAGGGCTCTCAACATAAGACTCAATTAATATGATGCTTGCAAGTGCTCCCCTATTGATCCCAGGCTGGTCTGAAACCCCAGGCAGCACTGGCACCAATTGCAGCATTAGCAAGGAAGACAAATGCAAAACTGGGGGATGCCAGCAAACTAAAAGGAGCAGCAGACCTCTTTAAGGATAACCAAGGAAAAGAGAAACCCCTGAAAGCACGGGACACTCTCCAAAACCCAAAATCTGCCTGCCTGCAATCCACTTTGTTGGATTTGCCACCCACAAACTTGAGACCAGGATTTCACCCATCCAACCTGATGCCTTTTCAGGCTGACTTAAAAACCAAGGCAGACAAAATTAAGGGAACAAAAAGCTGTTATATTTATTGAAGGGCCTTCAGGTACATTTAGGGCAGACAAGGCCCCCCGAGGGGCTACACCCAAAATGGATGATGGGTCGCAGGTTTTCACACTTTTATAAGTTTGGTCCATTTGTATATTGGGGGTAAATTTCCAGTTATAGTTTCAGGTAATGAAGTCTTTACCCCAAGTTTGCTCTCCCCAAGTCACTTTTGTTTCCATCTCTCGGGGCCTGAGGCAGTGAGGTGTCCTTGATTGCCAGGCCTGGAAAGGAATTGTTGTGTCTGCCCAAAATTGGAAGCAACATCTCACACTGCGTGTGGAGTTCAGAGCTAAACACTACAGAATAACAGGACCACAAATAGATGAAAAACATAAAATCCACAATCCTGAGGCATGAAACTGATGGGAGGAAGCCCAGCCCAGCCACCCTCCAGGCCCTGTCCCGCTCCCCGCGCCGCCAGCAGCGAGCTCGCTGTCAGCCAGCAGACAGATTGCTGCAGCCAGCAGCACCAAGGCCTGCCATGATTGCAGCCATTAATGCAGCGCATCTGATGCACCTCAAGGCCCCGGCGCTCGCTGACAAATGGGGAAGGGCTTCCCCACCCTGCCAAACCCCACAGACAGCAGCAGCAGGGCCAGGGACAGCAGCACCCCACAGGGACCCTGGGGATGTCCCCGGTGTGAAAAACGCCAATCACTTGGTTTTAAAATTTTAAAAGTTTAATAATAATAAAATGGTTATAAAAATAATAATACAATTAGAGTAATAAAGTTTAGAGTTAGGACAATTACAAGACAATAAAAAGCAAAGAATTACAGACATCAGGATGCTCTCGGACACTAAGTCAAAGCATGACTTGTGAACAAAGGAATCACCCTTAAAACAATACACTTGTTGCATATTCATACATCCTTCATGGTTATGCATACATTCTATTCTAAACAAGAAACTCTGTCTTATGTCAACTGTTTCCTTTAATCCCCTGGCATCTTCGAGTCTGAGCAAGGCCTGAAGAAATTAGTTTCATCTGATAAGAAGCCATAAATTCCTCTCCTTTGGAAGATTTAGGTGTTCCTCAAAGCGAGTATCTCATCCCTAAAAAAAGAACTTCCCCACATTCATAGTCTCTATTTTAACATTATGTTGTAACCTAAAACTACGCTTAACACAATACGTAAGAGAATTAATACAGCATAATTTTCTAACATTACACATATAATATTCATTGTAACATTTGCGAAAAGCCAATGATAAAATACGCATTTTTCACACCTGGCAAGGACAGAGATTGACAGCTGTCAATCACAGGGGTGGTCCCAGAGATGGCAGCCCAGCAGGTTTTCTCAGTTGGAGGGTATAACGAGGTTTGTGTGTCCTGCCCTTGCTGCAATCTTCTCTCATCAAGGTTGTCCCCAGTCCCACCAGAGAGATCATTCTACTGGCCCAGTCTCTCCTGCCTGATGCCAGGAATGCCCTTGCAATTCCACGTGTTCCCATTTGCTGCTGCTTGGGATCCAGGTTTCCCCAAGGCCAGAGGAGGATCTGCTTCTCCAGACTTGTCACCTCCTCCAGGATCACCTGTCCTAAGCCACATCCTTGAGCAAGGGCAGCCACCCACTGGCAATTCCCTGGGACACGGGCTTCCCTTGAGCTTCTGTGACTCCAATCCCAGTTCCAGGTTCTCCTGGTACCACCTGTTCCACAGGGTGGTAAGGCACTGGAGGAGGCTGCCCAGAAAAGCTGTGGATGCTCCATCCCCAGAAGTGTTCCAGGCCAGATTGGATGGGAGCTTGAACAACCTGGTCTAGTGGAACACGTCCCTGCTCGTGGCAGGGAATTAGAACTGGGTGATGCTTAAGGTGCTTTCCAACCCAAACAATTCCAGCATTCCCTGGTACCACAGCCTGCCCCATGGCTGCTCCCTCTGGGCAGGGGGAGCGCTGCCCTGTGCTTTTCTCTACTCACCATCCCTTTGTACTTCCTTCCAGCTGCCTTTTGTCCATCACCTCGTGCACTAAAAACCAGAGAAATCACAATTTTAGCACCTCAACTGAAGATACAAACCATTCCATGACAAAGCAAAACCCTCCCCATTCCCTACCCAAACCTGCTGCCTGACTTCCAGGGATCAGCCAAGCCCCACTGCAGCCTCCAGGCCTGATTTACCTGGGGTGAGGCTTTCCTGCTTGCCCTACAGAGCTCGTGGCTCCCCTGCCATACCCCTGGCAGGAGAGAAAAGCCAGACAGGCATTGCTCCAGCATCATCTGCTCCTCAGCCACGGTGACGTCTCCTTGCCAGCAGCTGCAACCCGGGCTCTGGGCAGGGGGGAGGCATTCAGGCAACCTGAAGGTGGACACTTAGCACATTTATTACCTGCTTATTAGATACCAGGCTCCCATTATGATGAAGTGGCTGAGTGATGGCTCCCGCCAGCTCCCGGTGCTCAGCAAGGATCTCTAATTCCATTTTGCACGAGCTGGGCCAAGGCGAAATCGCTTCCGAGAGGAAGGAATAAGCAGTTGTTTTTCTCCTGCATCCAAAACAATCTGACCCTCTGCACAATCTCAGCAGGACCTTTCCTGCATGCACTGTCTCTCCTCCTGGCCATGTGAGTGGTTTAGATTAGATATTAGAAAAATATTAGGTTTAGATTAGATATTAGAAAGAAACTCTTCCCTGTGAGGGTGGGGAGGCCCTGGCACAGGGTGCCCAGAGAAGCTGTGACTGCCCCATACCTGGAAGGGTTCAAGGGCAGGTTGGATGGAACTTGGAGAAACCTGGGATAGTGGAAGGTGCCCTGCCCATGGCAGTTTCACCCTGAAGAAAAGGACTCATGCCAAGCTCTGCAGTAAAAATACCACATCCATGAGCCTCCCAGTAGAAAAACTGCAGATGGGAACAGGTATCACGGGGTTAAAAAGTCATTAGATGGTGCAAAGGCTTTTCTGGGAATGGAGACAGCCTTGAAAGACATTCCAGAAAACTGAAACCCCAGAGAGATGATTTGCATAGCAAAATTATAAGAAGATAAGGAAATCCTTAATTGTCCCACAAAACCACTGCTCAGCTCTTTTTTGTCTTCCAGAACACTGGAATCCAGGAAGGAGATGATTTTGCAAAGCAAAATTACAAGGAAATTCTTAATTGTTTCACAGAACCACTGCTCAGGTCTTCTAAAGGCTGTAGTGAGAGTCACAGCCCAACAGGAGGATGGCTTTGGGTGCCTCTCCTGAGGGCTGTCATTCCTCCTGAGATAATTTCTTCTGTATTCCTCAGTTCTGTAGAAACCTGTCCCAATATCCTTTATCCCTCCCTCAGGCCAGATTAAAAACTACGTGCAGGGGCAGAAAGTTCAAAGAATAAAGAAGCTGCATTCTTACCCAGCCACTCCCAAACTGGGTGCTTTAGACGTTCTTGGGCTTTTTCTGCTAAATTTGATTAGTGAAAGCAATCCCTGCATGCACGTCCAGCAGAAATGCCCAAGCTTTGCTAAGCAGAGATATTCCATCATCATTCAGCTGTGTTGGTAGGAAAGGCATTCCCATGCTGTGGTTTCACAAGTGGCACTGACTGAGGGCAGGCAGCAGCATCACTTGTCCTGAGCGACACAGGGCAACTCCTTGGTTGAGGGACACTGGCTGAGAGGTGTGGGAATCCAGGGCTTCCCTCTGTCTGCCCTGGAAGGTCTGGGACCTTGGCAGGGGGTCGGGAACCCCCCTGGACAGAGCCCTGAGAGACACTGTCTGTGATCTCTGTCCATGGAAAAGAGTTTTCAATCTTACAGGATGAATTACCAGCTCTGAGTGTTTGATATAAGGAATAATTAAATGTGGCATGGGTGCAAAAGTAAAATTTTAGGATTCTAGATTAGGGGTTCAAAGGGGACAAGATGGAGGAAATTGGGTGTGCCTTGTCCTTTTTCTCCTTCTTCATGCCCTCCATGTTTCACTGTGGTGTTGGCATTTTTCTGTTGGTTTAGGCTGGGGACACACTGCCCAACGTAGGTGACAGATATTGGCACGTTATTGTAAATCCAGCACAGGTAGTTTCTGGTATTTAATGTTTGTACCATCCCACTGAGGGCAGAGCCCCACACGCTGCCCTGCAGGACAGAGCTGCGGCAGGGCAGCAGAACATGTTAGAGATAAACAGAATAAACAACCTTGAAACCAGCACAGACCAATTATGGCTTCTGCTTTGGCAACGGGGCAGAAAGACAGAGACTTTCTACAATCTCAGAATCATCAATAGCACAGATTCCGACAGTGAAGTGCCTTGTGACCCTTGCAGGCTGGCACGTGTCAGTTCTTGGTGGCCAAGCTGCCTGCAAACCAAGCAGAGTCACTGGTGTCAACAGTCCAGAGAGAACTGCTCGGGGGCTTTTACCTCCCTCCAGCTTCACCCAAACCAGGCCCCCACTTCACCATTCCAAAGGAATATTCACGCAGAGACAGACGGGGTGAGGAACCTGATTCCCAGAGAGCTGAGCACAGAGAGGTTGCTGTGAGAGAGATGAACACCTGCCCCCCCTTAGGGATGGGCTCCGTGCTCCAAGTTTCAAGTTTCCCTCCCATCGCTGGAGGGCCCGGAGCCCCAGCCCGGGGGAGGACCACACGTTCTACATGTCCCTGCTGAGCTGTTACACATTTCTGCTGTGTTCCTCAGGCAGAGGACTCTGCTAGCAGCAAGCAGGAGAGGAGCTGCCATCTGGGACTGCATGTGCTTCCCAGACAGATGGCTGCCTATTCTGGTCGTGTTTTATTTCGAGCAATGGTTCATACAGCAACAGCGCTAGTGTGAAAATGGGATGTGACAAGATGCGTATTGCTTGCACCTTCTGGAAAGTTCAGATAAAACCAAGATGTACAGGATGTAAGAATCAATATAATTAGGTAATTAAGAGAAGTGAAAGCCCCCTGGTTTAATGCTGCATTGTGCTGGTGCGTGTTGCAGGCTGTGTATGTGTGTGTGATATGGAACATGCATATGTATGGTTCCACATTTGTGCATGTCCCCACTGCAAAACCAGTGAGAAATAATGAATGTATACATCCAGCCATTAAAATAAACACAGCTACCTGCTCCAGCAGGCATTTCAGACAGAAGTGCTGACAACCACACACTCTCTCACCATTTTCACAGGGCAGGAAATTCCCTCTGTCGTGCTGGAGCAGGACACAGGGCAAGGTCCTGGTTCTGCCCCCATTCCTCGAACATTTTTTTCCTGCATTCTGCATTGCAGAACACCAACATCTAGAAATGTCAGCGGAAAGAAGAGCAACATCACATGCTGCTCTAGCTGGGGTCATTGCCTTGCTCTCTACAGAGTCAGGAATCCAGCTCTGGGCAGTACAGGGACACACATCCACAGAGAGCTTGACACATTCCCAAGTACATGGAAGTGGTGAAACACAGCTATAAAACCTGTTTCCAAGTTGTTTTGCAGCTCAGGTTGCAATGAAGGTTTGAACTGAATGTGTTAAAAGCCACTGGTCACACATATGGAGCCTGCTGGAAGCTGACTTCCCTCCCCCATGGGAGCCCTGAGCAGCTCACAGCCCAACAGCTCCCATCTCCCACACACAGGAACTCACAAACTCAAAAAGGAGGAAAAAAGATGGCAAGAAAAGAATTCAGGACAAAAGTACCTGCCCAAAAGCACAGGTTCAGGTGTAATGGGCTTCTGGAAGAGGCTGCTGCTGTGCTCAGGTACATCTGAGGCTGCACTTTCTTCACGTTCTGCTTCTTCAGCCCCAAGGGCAGCGAGGGTCCGTCTCATTTTGCACCATGTGGGACTTAGGCAGAAGAGCAAGTGAAAGAAAAGTATTGGTTGAGCCACACCTCAACGTGCAAATCCCAGACAGTGAGGTCCTGTGCTCATGGCCCCAAAGCCCAGCTCCTAGGAAGCTCAAGAAAAGCAGAGATGTCCTCTAAAATAGCAATGAGGAGCTGTGTCTATAATCAAAGTTCATTAAAATGGGCTAATGCAGAGCAGCTGGTGGTGAAAGACCCAAATGGAGTGTAGCATGCTGAGGTTATCAGCATATAAAGTCTTTGCAAAGTTATTATCAGATAGGCAAGAGAAAATTATGCAGCTCTCCTAAGATTAAACTGCAGGACTGGGACTCAGTAAGGGGTGGGTGGCAGTCAATGCAGCATTCCTGTGTCCTGTGCAGGGACACCAAATCATACCCCGAGATAAACTCAGGGATGCACAAGAGGGAAAATTCAGCTGAGGAGCAAGAGATGAGCCAAGCAGGTCAGAGCACCCTGCAGGCAGGGATCCAAGGGTCAGCAAGTGAAAAACCTGCCACCTCCACGCCCCCATCACCAACTCTGAGTCAGCAAATGGGGTTTTTGTACTTGCAGTTCCCAAAGTACAGCCAAAAGGACGTCGCGTAGAAACCAGACCGTGTTCGGGGAGTTTTGGCAACTCTGTCTTTTTATCACTTTGCAGCTCGCTGGGTGTCACTCAGAGTGGAAAGCTTCGGTCCGGCTTTAGGTGTAGCTGTGATTTCACACTTCTGCCGAGGCAGGGACTTTATGTGCCGCTGCTGCTTAATTACTGAGGATGCTCAGGGAGGTGGGGCAGGCAGAGTTGGCTGAGCAGGGCTGGGGTGGGGAGGAAAACATCCCCACACGCGAGCGGGATTCGGGAGGAATAAATTCGGAGAGGAGCCGCAATAAATCTCCCAGCCTGGCCACTGCGGTGGGAGTTGCTTTTCCCCCTCCCCGCAACAGGGAAATTCTGCTCTTTCCACGGGGGGTGGGAAGTGGCACAGGGCTGCATTGAAATGTAAATTCACTCAAATTATTAAGCACAAGAGAGCAGCTCCTGCCAGCCCTTTGTTCCGCAGTCAGAATGTGTAATCTAGAAGAATAAATATAGTCAGATATCAGCTAAACAAAGAGACCCGGGGCCATGCATATTCAGCGACCCTCTCCCCCAGGACATCCCTTCCCCCTTTATCAGGGAGGCTCTTTCTGCAGTCAACAATTGTAGATCAAAATGCCCTCATTAACCAGGGCTGAGCTGCAAACCTCTCGCTGCTCCGTCCTGAGGGTGGGTTCCTTTATTTCTCCCCAGGAGCAGAGATGTTCCCAGCCCCTGGCCACCTCTGCTGTCCCTTCTCCCTCCGGGGGACAGGGCAGGGCTGGCCCTGGAGCCCATGGGTGCTGCACTCCCATCAGAGGGATGGGATGGGGTGGCTGCGGGTCAAAGTCCCGGAGTCCAGCAGCTCTTGTGGCTCCAAAAACTGTCCCACACTTTGCTGCCATGTCCATCACTGTTCCAGCCAGGAGAACCCCCCCGAGAGAGGCCAGAAGTCACCGAATATACCCAATTCTGGCCACTTCAGAACATGCTACCTGGACAGACTGATGACCTGGAGACTCACAGAGATGTTTTTTTTTAAAAAAACACCACCCAGAGAAACCATTTCAAATGTTTTTTTCCCCACAAGCTCCTGACTCCCTGCAGCCACCACAGCAGCTCCAGGTCCAACAGAGACCTGCACTGCAAGTTCACCCTGTGCTGTGGTGACCAGGGATGTCCTGCTGTGTCCACTCTCTGGTCATAGAGGGCCAGGTGACCACACAGGCACCAAGACAAGCTGGGAACAGTGGGAGGGACAGCCTCAGTTTCCCAGAGCCCTTCCAGCAGCACTGGGGAGCTGCAAACCAAGGATTGCCTCTGCACCAAGCACAGGGAGAGGTGGCTGGAGGGGAAAAAAGCAGCAGGGGAGGAAAAGAGGGTGTTCTCCCCAGCACCTAAACACAGCTTCTCCTCTCCAGTGGTGTCAGTCTCACACCTGTCACTACCACTGAGCCTGCTGCAAGGTTTAAAAATGAGGTAGGGGAGGAGGAGGGGGAAAGAAAAAAAAAAAAGGAAAAAAAATCAATTTGGCTGGTTTTGAGTTATATGAATATAATAAACCCTGAGTGTCCTGCTTTTGGATGCAGTTTGTGCTTCCAATAACTCAGCAATATATTCATTAAACAAAGAGAGGTAAAAGCAGCAAGCCATTAAAAATAAAGCACCAGGAGAGGGAAGGCCATACAGGCTGTAAATATCTTTGACTCTTTTTCAACCTCCATTTTCTTATCCCTGCTCATTCACTAATTGACCTCTGGATCCTGCATCTCAGAACAGTTTCCATCACTGCACTTTGTCCTTCAACCACAGATGCAGCAAAGGATCTCAGGCACTCTCTAAATGCAGAATAACTCACAGACATCCAAAGCAGGAGACAGAGTACCTTTCCCTCATTGCCCTGGTGCTGTGCTGCAACACCCCCTGTACAAGGATACAAAACCATCAAAGATCAGGCGTCCCACATGAAAAAAATATGTCCAGTTTTAATCTTTTAAAGCACTGGGCACAGCCCTTCTGTACAAACACACAAAATCCTACCTTCTGGCGTTTCAGCTTCATTGCACAAAGTCCACCCAGAGCTATGGAGACAGACTCTTCTTTCTGATCCATATGGAGGCGTTCTGGCCACAGGGCACTGCTCCCTTTCCTGGCCCAGGCAGGGCTCAGCTCCATGTGGCAGCCACCAGAGCCTGACGTGCTGATCCAGTCTGAGGGACAGCACACACACACTGCCACCAAACCACCTGCAAAAGGAGGCTTTCAGCACCACTCTGCAAGTCCTGAAGACCCTCCAAGTTTAATTCTAGTACCAGCAGCTTGCCAGAAGGGTGTCTCTGACCCAGCATCTGAAGTTTTTTCTTACCTTGCCCAATCTAAGGGCTTTAACTCCCCAGTTAAACACTAACTCCAGTCACATGCCACAGCAGTGATTCAGAAGACAGCACCTGGCTGGCTCAGCACCTTCCAAAAGCCTCCCAAACAGCTGGGAGAGATCTCCCACTGGCAGGGAGGGAAGTGGTTACTCAGCAGGAGGCTCAGCTCCATCTCTGCAGCATCTGGTTCTTCTCTGGAGCTCATCACCCTCTGCATGGTCTCATTTCTTCACAAGTTCCAGCAGCATCTCAGAGCATCACCCAACGTGACAGCAAAACAGCAAGTGAGGCTTCCCTCACATTTTCTGTGATTAGCAAAACTGCTTGCTGGGGAGGGCAGGATTCAGTTTGGTGAGGGCACAGGGGTTTTCCTGCCCCAAAACCCATATGAGACTTCTCTATTCCTTGCCTGCAGGCACTCAGAATGCCACTTTTCCTCCTTTCTGTGGGATTTAAAAGAGCAGCCTTCTCATGTTCTCAATCCCTCCCAAAGCTCACAGCATATGGCAGTTTGGAAGGAAATTGGGTTAAGAGCATAAAGGCTGTTACAGGAGTTTTGCTAAATGCTGGCTCTGCAAGGGAAACCACAGGCAAGGGACAGCCTGGGGATGTCACAGACCCTGCTGGGCCCCAGAGAGCAGAAAGCAGAGCCAGGAACTCTGTATATTAAACCTCTTTGATGAGTTCTTTGCATCCAGTCCTTACCAGCGCTGAGCAGCAGGAAAAAAAGCTCCAACAAGTTCCTGTCCCTGTGTTCTCTGAGGAAAAGCTGTCCAGCGCAAGGAGGGACAAGGTGCTGCAGCCAGGGTGGCTGGAAAGGACCTGGGGGTGCTGCTTTGGGCAAAGCCCAGGTGGGCAAGAAGACCAATGGCACCTGGGCTGGAGCTGGCACGGTGTGAGCAGCATGGCCAGGGCAGTGATTGTCCCCTGTGCTGAGGCCACACCTCAAGTCCTGGCTCCAGCTCTGGGCCCCTATTGCAAGGAGGACATTGAGGGGCTGGAGAGTGTCCAGAGAAGGGACCAGAGCTGGGGAAGGGGCTGGAGCACCAGGAGAGGCTGAGGGAGCTGGGAGGGCTCAGCCTGGAGAGAAGGAGGCTCGGGGGGAACCTTCTCACTCTGTACAACTCCCTGACTGGAGGGTGTAGCCAGGTGGGATTGGTCTCTTCTCCCAAGAACAAGTCATAGGAAGAGAGGAGATCTTAAATCACCCTGAGGAGGTTTGGGTTGGATATTAGGAAAAGCTTTTTCATCCAAAGGGTGGTCAGGTACTGGAACTGGCTGCCCAGGGAAGTGATGAAAGTGTCAGCCATGAATATATTAAAAAAAAACATATGGGTGCAACACTTGTGGTCATTGTTTAGTGGTGGGTGAGGTCTTAGAGGCCCCTTCCAATCATAACATGCTCTGATGCCACAGTTCCTGAAAGTCCTTGTTCTGCTCATGGGAAACTGTCCATGCAACCTCTCCCCTCAGGCACCCCACAGCATATTGGACATCTCTGCTTTTATGGATTTTTCTCCTTCTTTGGGCTGGGCTGATTAAAGTTATCCAGGTGCCAAGGACATGCCACAGGCAGCAGCTTTCACTGAACAGACAATGTTTTAACTACAGATCAGCTAATTTAAAGGAAAGTGCCACTGCCTTCCCCTAATAACTACAGCTTTTTTCTCACTGTGATTTTACAGTGGTTCAAGTTTAGCTGAATATAAATCAGAAGAAAAAGAGAGCAGAATCTGGCCTCAGCTATTTGTATTTTGCCCCCTAAACAAAGCCACGTTTGATCAGGGATCTCCTTTTCCACCTACTCATCACAGGCACTAGAAAACATTTTCAGAACAGCACAGTACTTGGACACGAGATTTCTTACAGTGTATTTTTCAGGAGTCCAAAAGTTCATCAAACACTCCTTTATCCCCAGACACCCTCTGATCCGTGCACAGGTGTGTGAACTCCCACACAGATCTGACATGGAACCATTAGAGAGGAAAAAAAATAATTCAGAGTCTCTCAGTTTGACTCATCAGCGAATATTAATTTCTATTGTCATGCAGTTGACTTGTAAATCAACTGGATCATTAACTCAGACCTTTTGTGCAGTAACATTACAAGTTATTTAGACACCACGGTGTTTCCTGCACTCCCACTGATTTGAACACAGAGTTCTGCTTCCAAGGAAAGAGAGGCTAAATGTGTCCACACAAATCCAGATAATTCTCCATGATGTTGTCCTGGCTGTCCACATTTGCCAAAATAACCACACCACGCCAAGCTGGCCAGCCAAATAGTGCCTTCTGCTGGAATTGCAGGATTTTGGGATGGATGGCAGTCCTGTTTCTGCCAAGACAAAGGTTTCCACATGAAGTTTACAGGTACAGGCAAAAGGCTGAAATTTTAACTAAGGATTTGTGCCCTGCAGGTTCTGGGAGTGAACAAATCGGTATCGATTTACGACATCAAAAGGCTCAGATCTTGTCTCTTTCATATCTATAAATAATAAGTATTGACTATAATAAACCAATTGAGAACAAACTGCTGGAGCTCAGGCTGCTGTGAATGCTGAATTAGTGGAGTGATGTGAGGCACAGCCTGTTTACTTCCCCAATTGCTGCTGCCACAGATGTCCCACCTTGCCAAAGGTTCCTGGTCGTCCTCATGAAGAAAGGCACAAGCATCCACAGTCTCTACTGGAATCTCTAATTTGCTTTTTCTCCAGAGAGAAGTTAAAAATCCAAGGTGTTTCCCTAAAATCCAAGGGGTTTCCCTAAAATCCAAGGGGTTTCCAAGCAATAAGGGATGCTGGCAATAAGATGTGAATTCACCTGGGTAACTTGCAGCAAGTTCAGACCTCCGGGATTTTCTGGGGGTTCCTAAAAGGGGCTGAGGATTTTTATCCAGCAGGCTGAGGTGTCACAGGGCTGGACACAATGGAGAGGGAAGGTGGCCCTGGAGAGGCTCAGGGGTTCCATTCTCAGTTCAACAGCGACCTCTGCTCCCGGCAGCCTGCAGCACCGGAGTCACTGGGGCTGGGGACATCTCCCGACAGATCACCTGGCTCTGTTTTATCTATGGGGAATAAGGACACATCCTTCACACGTGGGCAGCCACCGTGACCTTCAAATCCCATCAGATGGAGCCCAGGGCTCCGCGGCCCCGGCAGTTGTTAAAGCATCCCAGGATTTACCTTTTTTCCTACTTGGCTGATATTTAACCAGATGCCAAGAGAGACAAGGACACCTGGTTTCTAAATGGATTGTTTTCAGCGTGCCCCAAGAGGGAATATAGATGTATGTGCACTCTCTCACACACACACGAGACTTGCATGGAATCTCAGGAACTGAGCCGTGTAACCGAGGCAAACCAACAGGAAGGTTCAGCTTCTAAACCTACCCCTAAACACCTTAGGGGCTGGGGGCATTGAGGGGGTGGTGGGACAGCTGAAATTCCATGATATTCACTGGGATACCGCATACAACAGGTTGATTTGAGCAAAGGTAAAAGATCTGCCTCAGCTCCCCAAAACAGAGCATCCATCCTTAGCTCTTAGCTCTCCCTCCCCTGCTGGTCTCAACTCCCACATCTCAAGATCTAGGATATCCAGGACTCTTCTAATTCTTCACAAAACATCAAGCCAGATCCCAGGTCACAGCTGTGAGAGCTCCCCACCCACAGCAGCAGAGGATCCCACAGAAAATCCTGCAGAAAATCCCACAGAAAATCCCACCTGTGCCACGCCAGGGGTCCAGCACTGCAGATCCTGTCAGGCTGCAGAAATCAGTGGCACTCCTCACTCCAGCAATTCAATCAAAGACCCCCTGCCCGGTGTGTAGTGATCCACAGGAGCTGGGATTCAAGCAGAATGTTGTTTCCAGACCCTGTGAGGGTCAGCAGAATAAATGGATCCCTCTCCCTGGGAACTGAAGGATGCTGATGCCCACGGCAGCACTGCCAGCTGTGCCTCCCCACCCCAATAACCCACACACAGCAGCCTCTTCTCCCCTCCTCCAAAAAGCCCCAAGCTCTGATAAAATATATTTTGGGCTAAACTAAGGCAGCAAAGTGAGAATCCTGCACCTTGCAAGCTGCAGAGGTATTTTATGAGCTCCCCAAAATATTCATAACAAGCTGAATAACCTAATGCTCTAAGGTAAAGCAGCTTTTAGGACTGCAGTGTCCTCTGTGGGGGAAAGTTCCACTCTGCTCTCCCCCTTTCTCCATGCCCACTCACACTACTGCAAGTCATTGGGATAATTCTTAGAAAAAGCAGAAAAGAAAATGAAGGTCAGTTTAAAATATCTTCTCAGCTGTAGATTAAAAAAAAATCAAGCTAAAAATAACTGTTTTGAGCAAGACAGAAAAGACAGAAGAGCTATTAAGCGACTTTAAATTGCCCAGCCAAGAGTGTCCAAAGCTTGGACAGAAGTTGGCAGAAAACAGAGAATAGATCTCTGTAGCTCCTGAGGACTTTGTGTGCTCACCCTACATATAGATATAGATATTAAAAAACCCCCAAAACATTTATAAACATCACCTTAGCTGTAAATTAATGTCACCCCCCCACACACACATATATATTATAAAAACCCCAAAATATTTATAAACATCACCTTAACTATAAATTAATGTCACCCCACGTATATATATATGTATATATAAAAACCCCAAAACATTTATAAACATCACCTTAACTATAAATGAATGTATTGCTGTTTGTAGGAAGTATTCACATTACTTTAACAATAATTCACAATTTTAAAGAATAATTTGCACAAAGTCTGTCTCTTTTCCACAGCTTTGTGTGTCTTTACTCCTGCTCAGTACAATCCCATTTGTGCTCTCAGGACTGCACCTGCATTCACACAGAGCTCCAGAAGTCAAAGGCAGGGAGCTCCAACAGATGAAGCTGTAGTTGACCCAAAAAATATTTATCCACAGACTTCTGTTTGGTTTTAGATACCTTTCTATCCAAAGATCCTACATCAACAAAGTCCTTACAGGGGGATAGATCAGTAAAAATAGGGATATTAACCCATCTCTCTGGTTTTGTCCAAGAGATGGTTTGCCAGCTATTCCTAGGTCAAATATTTCTAACACAAAGAGCACACAGCATCAGTAAATACACAAATTTCTTCTTGGGTAAGACCTGCCAAACACAAGTGACATGGCCCTGCTGGGTGCCTGCCCTCCAAGGCAGCCTTGAACTCCAACCAAAGGCTGAAAATCAAAAATCTCAGCATCACTTCAGCCCTTCAGAGCTCCCCAGCCAACATAAGAATATTCTGCTTCACCACAAGCAGAGGTGGCCATGCCCTTGTCCCCAGAGCCCTCCTGCTCTCTGATGGGGACAGGGATGGGTGCATGAGCATCAATTCCATTTTCAGCACTTAGAAAAAGTGCTTCATAACTCTCAACTTCATAACTCTTCCCATTTTGTCACTCTTAATATTTATAAGACATCCAGGAAATGATTGATTTTCCTTCGGACCCCTTGTCATTCACAGTTTCTTATCTCCTGCTTGTAGGGGGCAATCAACAGATTTATAACAGCCCATAAAAGTTGTTACCAAAAGTACAGCTTCTTTGTGTGTGATCATTTCTAATAACTCTCAGGCACGATAGCAATTACTGACAAAAGTCAGCCTCTGTTAATAGAGTTTATCTCAGTTCATCATATATCCTTTGTCAGTGGAAGCATTTTGACAAGCCTGGGGTTAATTAAAACCAAGAAGACAATAAAATACACCTAATCAAACATTACAGGTACAGAAATCAATTAGCAGATTTATGGCACTTTGGAGCCCTCTATAACGTGCAAAATTCAAAGAAACTGTCAGTTCCATCCCCCCCAAGACAGTGTAATTGAATTTCTAATTGAAACTATTTTTCAATAGGTAACACAATCCGCAAAGTTTGATTTGCAT